CCAGCTGGAAAGAAACAAAAACTTTGCTAGCTCACAGGGAAAATCTTAAAAATTTTAAGGAATTTTTCCTCAAAAACAGTTTTTTTGTTGCTAATGCTCAAACAAATGCTTCAACATTTTGTTTTATGGTTATATTTCAGACAGTTCATTCAACTGATACATTGATAAGGCTTTTATTCATTATATTTTGACAAAATGCAATTTTTGTTAACATTTTAATCAAAACACTATATTTGCCTATTTCTCCATAAACCACTTTTAGACTTAATCCTCGTTTCCGTGGATGGGTCACATTTATTAAACTGAAATGTGCATTTGAGCATGAAATAAGTTATATTACTGCACTGCATATTGGTTTAACAAACATATAGTGTATAAACGTTTTTTAAAAAGTCAGTTTTTTAATATGGTTAAGTGTGCAGTGTTGTGTGGTCCTTTGGTAGTGTGGACAAAAATTGTGGCTCCTTCCATCATTTAAGTTGCACATCCTGGAAATAAACCTTCAAATCCATCAGTGGTTCAGGGGATATTTAGTTAAACAGACAGCTGATCCTCATATTTCAGTCTGTATTCTGTTTTCACACGGAGAACACCAGAAAACCCAACCTGCACACTTCTCTTCGCCCAGGATTCCCCTCTGCTCTGGAAAGGTGGAACCAGTCAGGTAAAAATAGGGAAGTGAGAGACAATCAATGCCTGGCTTGAGTGGGGGAGAGATCTACTGCTGACCCCCCTCACTGTGACAACCCTGAAGGCCTTCCTCTTTTGCAAATAAACACGTCTCTCCTAAAAAAAAAAACAGCTGGAGTTCAGGTTCCGACACACGGGGGAGGAAAAGAAATAAACCAAACTAAAGCAGCCCACATGCTTTCAAAGCAGACAGTGAAATGTGAGCCGTGTCAGTGTGGGAGGACAGYGAGACTGAGGGACACGTCAAGCCTCAGTGTCCAGATCTGACAGACAGGAGGTCACTGCCTCAGATTAAACATTTAGAACAGAGAAAAGGCATGGCAGCTGTTTCATCTGTCAGGTCAGGAGCAGGTTAAATGAGCCGGTTGATTCTAATTCAGTTATGACCCCACAAGTGGGGGGCATTGTTTCGTATTACTTTATTTTTCAAGATTTTTGGTCCAATGTAGCATGGAAACGGCTGCACCGATCAATATGAAATTTGGCAGGAATGTAGATGTGTCCGACCTACACTGCTCCAGCCAATGGTTTTGCGATAGACCCCATATTTGAGGAGGGGGCTCCATCTAAATAGGGGATGTTTGGACATAAAAACAATGCTTATAACTCAAAAACTATTCAACATAGCAGCTTCAGGTTTTTTTTTGTTTGTTTAACACAGATGAAGGGCTATACATCTGACCCACCAATGAACAAGACAAACACAAAGACTGGTCCAGATGTAGCTTCTATAAGAAGAAAAAACAAAGAGAAATCCAAAATTACTGTCAGCTGTGGTGGGCGAGAAAACAACAACAGCAGAGTGAGTTTGTCTCCAGCAGACTCAGTGACAGCTCAGGACTCCAAATCCAACTAAAGAAAGCCGAAGCATCAGCCTCATGGACAGAAACTAAGATGGGTCCAAAGGAAGTGCAATCCACAGGGAAAAGTTAGTTGAAGAATCTTTTAGTTAGTTTTGTGCTCCTTAGCTGCACAACAACAACACGATGAAAACACTGTAGCCCAAGACTCTATMGGCCAACCACTGCAGAAGCACAGATCCAGGCAGGAGCAACAGAAGTTGGCACGTTAGGGATTCACTAATGTCTTTTGTCCACTGATGATTTGAGATTCAGCAGGAACAAGTCATTGTGGAGGTGGGCACCCAGGTGGTTCGCAAATCAGACTGGTTACTCAGAGGCATTAATATATATATATATATATA